TTAATTAGTTAACGAAACGTTTTATTTTAACGATATCGTAAAAAAAAAAAAAAAAAAGAAAAACACTGAAAAAAAAGGAAGAACTTATCCAATTTTCTTGAAATATTATTATATTTAATCATCGAAATCTATCTTTTTTATAAGATATAATAAAATGTATACATGATTCAAGAATGTGGGATTCTTGAAATAATTTCAAATATTTTTCTTTTTAAAAATTTTTAAAAAATTTTCTATCTTTCGACCAATGGCATTCAATATCCAATGCTATCTGTAATTAACCAGTATTTTTTGTTAATAATTCGTATAATAAAATCGAAAAGAAAATTTTTACGAAAATAAATGTTATTTAAAATTAGAAATTTTCAATTAACTGATGTTCCTATATTTTTGATCACATCCTGTATAAATTTTTGTATCTTGAACACAGGAAAAAGAAAAGATTTTTCCAATTTCTTTGGAATGCAATTCACGTAAAAATATGGATAATCTTTTGTATCGTAGAAACGTATCATTGTTAAACATTGTAAAAACATTTTTCTATGACAGAAGAACTTTCATTGAAATTCTGCCGAGAGAATTTCTCTCAATTTTCAACAAAGAATAATTAGTTCTCTTGCTAGCAAGAACAAAAAGTCCTCGTCGAAAAGGTAGTACAAGTACAAGTATAAACAATGAAAAATTGAAAAACGTGTTTCCTCGACTTCAAAGCAAAGCATTCCGGTTCAGAAGAAACTCGCCATGGAAAATCATTTCTTTTAAAGAAGAAGGGAAAGATATTTTTCCTTGGTGATATTTCCACGCAGTTCAAATCTGATCTGATTCGCGCGAATCTCGACAAAGTCGCTTTAGCGTGGAAAGTCGCCTCGACACGCTTATCAACCTAACCTAAGAGAAGAGAGGCTTATCGAGCCTGGAAAGTCGATAAGGTGCTGTTCCATTCGATTTACGTTTGCGTCAAAGTCTCTCGCAAGTTTCGACCAACTTTCTATCCAGATTCTAATCTAATTAGCATTCTATCTAACCGATACCACTAATTAATTGTTGGGAGGAATCAATAATCAAAGAGGCAACTATAAATGAATTATAACGATAAGAATAAAAAAGGTGAATATACTCTAACAGTAACTTTTACAAGAAAATTGTATTTTTACGATTCTTTTGATTTCTTGCCAATATTAAAAACATAGGGAAATTCAAAAGATCAGACTTTTCTTACTTCCCTTCTATTAACTCTTATTACATTCTACCATTGAAATCGCCCAAGAAAATTTTTTTACAGAAAACTCGCTTTAAATTTACTTTACTTTACTTTGGATATCTTAGATTCTTGTTATTCTCAAAAAATGTTCGATCAACGAAATTGGATTTCAACAACAATCTCGCCGATCATTGAGAAAAGATACGATCTTGCATAACGATCATCACGAAATTTTGAAAAAAGAAAATGGCGGAACGAGGATGGAGGGAATTGCCTCGTTTCACTCTCTATACCCGGTTAATTAACTCGGCTCCCTTTGAACTGTATCGAGTTCCTCGTGGACTAGGTTCGCGGTTTTGACTTCGACCTCGATTCTTGGATATCCAATTATCCGTTTCTCTTCTTGCACTGACCTCTCGATAGTGTCGAAATTATCTCTGACCAATCTTATCGTCGCTGATTTCCTTTGCATCTCCCTCTCTCCCTCTCTCTCTCTCTCTGTTCTTGTCTTCGTTTGCTCGTTCCTCGTTTACTATTTCCTTTGCTTATCCGGTCTCGGCCGATTTCTTGCCGAGGAAACGAAGCGAAAAAGCGGAGGAGGATCAAGAGGAGGAACGACGAGTGAGTATCGAGAATTTTTAGGCGTTCCAGGTGAATTGGCACCACTGGTTATTTTGATGCTCTGTTCAGAGAGAAAGATATCGGCTCGATGAAGCTGCGGATTGGAAACGGAATATTCGATACTCCTTATCTCTTCTTCTTGAACGAGTTTCTTTTTATTCCGTTATTTTTTTTTTTTTTTTCCTTTGCTTTCTTCGGTGTTGAACGATATCGTATAGTTTGTCACGTTATATATAGTAAGAGTGAAACTTTTCTCTCATTCATCCGTTTCGAGGTTTCGTTTATTTCTCATTTACTTTTTATTTGAATAAAAATTTATGTATATATACGACGGATAGATGAATTTATATACAAAATTATGTAAGATTCATATTATTCCTCATATTGAAAAATCCACGATTAAAATTATCGTTAATTTTCTCACTTGTTATCATCATCATCCATCATTGTTAGCTTTGCTTGTTAAAAGATCAAAATTCATCGATGCCTCAAAATATTCGTAATTTTGAATTTGATTGAGATAGAGGGAAATGGAATATAATGGGATGAAAGAGAGGCGGCGATTTACCAAGAAACCTGAAGACGTCTCTAAATCGCTCGGGGGGACAGCGATTACAATAAGAAAAAGAAGCGAAAGACCACTCTCGTTGGGGAAAGGTCCCTCGTCAGCCCAGGGTTGGAACGGTTGGGACGACGGAGGGAAGGAAGAGAAAGAGAGAGAGAGAGAAAGAGAGTGACAGCGAAGGACAATGTTTCGAAGAATAAAAAAAGATGCACGATCGCGGTGGAATCCATTCGCGGCTCGGCTTCTGTTCGTTGAACG